ATGGTCTTTTACTCAAACTCATCGTTTGTTATTAAATATGAGAATGTTTTTGCTCGATATACATTGAAGTAACTACTTTCCAAATATTTAATATCTAATATGATTGATTCTACAAGGATGATGCTGCTTGCACTAGTTGGAGTTTCAAATACCTCATGTAGTCATCATGTTTATTTAAATAACAGCGTGCAAATGAGGTTATGTGTGTCTCCTAAAATTATAATGGTTAGTCTCAAACTTAACCTTATTTATATGAGAATTATCAAACTCAATGTTGGCCTTGTAAGGACTATCAAGCTTGCAATTGATCTATTTTAAGCTGCGATGCTAATTCTTTTTAAATCTTGCACTTGATATTTAGATGTTAAATGGCAAGCATCCTAGCATAAAATATAGAGGTCATCCACTATTAATTTCTATCACTTACTGTGTTTTAAGTTTGAACCGAAGTACAGATACTTTTTCAATGCAACTAATGTGAAAAAACTTCATTTTCTAACTATTGCGTTATTCCATTCAATTATTGAGTTAATTACACTGTTTTCATTTAAAAGTTCAACTAATTAGCATGTACCAATCGCATATCTTGTATTATTGACCTTCATCTAACTCTCAAATAACGTCTTCTAAATTTAGCAGATAACAATATTGTTAACTTATTTCTCAAATAGTAAAGCTAGATAAATTTACACTTTCTTAATAGTTCTTAATAAATATTACAAAAATACCCTTCCAGAATTTGCTCTTTTTTCTAACATGATTTACTTTCATTTTTCGACTAATTGTACTAAGTGTAATTTATGCATTTCTATCTACTAATACGATGATGACTTATGACTTGATGCTGAACTCCTTAATGAATAGGATTGGATTAGCTAATATTGTACATGCATTTCAGGATATTATCATTATCCTAAAGCCTCTCAATAAAATGAACATCATATTATTATTAAACATTTTATTTAATACATTTAGCACCAAGTGCATAGAAACTTATGAAGCCATGAATTATGGCAATCATCTAAAGGATACTTCCCAAATATCAATTGCGATTCACATGTGGCTCTTTTAGGAGTATTTGGGTACTTTTTCAATTCGAAGTGTGGTTGATATTATTAGACATCATCTGGTTTTCAAACATCTCTTCCTGATAAGAGTTAAATATTCCTAATGTATTTTGGTCATAGCAAAGATAGTACTTATTATTCAATCACTTCTAATCCTAATATTTGGAGACATTCTAAATCCCCTAGTAACTCTATTTATATGATGATGGATTCCATCTAAATAAAAGAATGCATACCAAATGCAAACTTGAATATTAACTTGCTCAATCTTACATCTGATTGACTCTATTTATCTAGGAACAACTCTTGCGTAAATATCATTCTCCTAAAAAAATTCGCAGTCCCAGCATATAGCATTTTATGGTCTAAGTTTTTCCAATAATAACTTCAAAGAATTAAGAGCATAGCATTTTTAAATCTATGTAGAAAAAGAAATACAATCTAACCTTCTATCAACTTTTACACTTTCTCAATTATACAAGATCAACTTAAAATCATAAATTACACATATCATATCGCTACCATACTAATAGCATTGCGTTAGGACATTGCAGTAAATTTCTAGCAAATTTTATTTAAGAATTATGCAAAACGGCACATGTTAATTATAATTAAATGAACCGCTGAAATATATATGATGGACTATTTAACTTCACTCCGAAGAAGCAAGATACAATTATACTATCATATTTTCTAATGATCAATAAGGTAGTTGGGCAATATTAATTACAAATATTAAACTCGATAAAAACAATTCGCATCTACTCCTTCAAAACTATATTTAAACAGAGTGAATTATCAGGCTATTTTGCATAAATAGAAGCCAGTAGTCTATCTTTAAATTACTTAGCAGAAATTTGGATGGCTCTCCATTAATCACAACTAATATTCTACTATTCATGCGCTTATTATAAAGATAATTAACATACTCAATTTGTAGTAATCAATCTTTGAATATGGCTTTTATAGATCTATATACTTTACATTTAACTTAAATGTTCAGATCTTGTGGAAGAAAACACTCACCTCTCAATTTTGGAGTTTCTTTAGTATCATGGACTGCTCTTGCAATTATTCGAACTAGTATAAGCAATTATGATTTAATCTGTGCCTCCTCCTATGTAAAAGTGCATAAAAATTTGTAATCATGCAAAAGCTATCGCGGATCAGGAATGTAAATTATTATTTGAACAGAACATAATGTAAGAATCTTGACTGACTTGTTATTATTGTTCCATCTGATATATACCTTGCGCATTTGAATACTCACATATGTCAATTCCTCTTTGCTTAATAATTTTAACTTTTTTGTTGGTTACATTTACTAGGATGATGGAATATCAATTATTATGTCTCATCAGCATCTAAACTTAAACTTTGCATTTATTATTATTATTAATAACACATACATCTCTACAGCTCTCAGAGAATGATCCACTAACTTTTTCCTAATATTTAGAATGAATAATTACTGGATGCACGCTAGAAAATTTGAAATAAGTGAGACTAATGGATATGTATTTTTCCATTTATAATAATATAAAGCTGAAGCACATCAGCGAATTTAACTTTGAGCGTGATTTTCTGATGCCTCCAAAACTCCAGTAGTTACTCATTGTAAATTCGCACCAAATGCACTGTAACACTATTGTAACGTTGATCCTATAATGTCTTGATGGCTAACTTCTTCTATGAGAATTGAATTTTATAATCTGAAGGTGCAAATTGAAAGTTATGTCACAAACACAACTTATGTAATTCATCCCTAATTGCATCAGCAGCTCTATGTTCGTTCTTCCATAGACTTGCATTATATGTGACTTTTTGATTACCCTTCAATTTTATTTATTTTAAACTATCCTTCAAACCTTCAACAATTTAGGTTATAAATACGTTCAAGCTCGATGGTCTTAAATTAAATTACAAATACTACATACTTTCGTTTTTTTTTTGAAGCAATCAATTTTCAAAATGCAAATTAAAGGATTCTTTTGCTGCAACTTTGTAAAAATTTTGTATTTGTAAATAATTTTAGAATGATAATTCACATCAATAATTTCATTGTCAAAACATATCAGAACTATGAATAAGTTGAGGGCTGACTTACTTTTGAACAAGACATTAATTTTATTATAATGAAACATCTATTACAAGATGGATAATTTGTTACTCCTGTGGTTGATAGTTTATTTTGAATGAAATAGCCCTTATCACTAAACTATTGGAGTGCTTATCTTCAATATCACACTTTTGATTATTGTTACTATTAAATGGGTAAAAACTAATTTCCTGATCAATATAAATTGGAGCAAAAAAAATACCTAAACATCTTGTTTTGATGGATATTATTTTTTGCTCAACACTTATCTAAATTTACCTTTTTGCCAAATATGAAAAATAAGTTCTATCGGTGTCACAAACCTAATACAAAGTTGCTTCTATTGCTGATGCTACTTCTACAGCTTTTATAACTCAAAAGTTGCCTACCTTCTGAATGATGATGATGGATTCATTAAAATGGATTTAATAAGTTATGAGGTTGCCAAATCAATCCTATTCGTAACATTAGTAGTTTTATATTGCTGCTAAAAATATACAATTTGTTTCAATAATGATATTTCTTTTGCTGATAATACAAGTTTTAAGTGTAAATTTCATTCCAAATATCCACTTGATTCTTGCTCAAAGCAAGTACTTAAATTGCCTGTTTAAATATGCAAATTACATTTCTTTTTGTAAACATCTGGTAATGCTTACTCTTATCGAGGTGTATACAAAAGTGTACATACTTTTGTTCCACTTGTAATCCTCACGAATTAATGCATTTTTTATTGCTGAATGATAGTAATTACACTGTTCGACAGCTTCCAGCAAATTTAATATAGGAATTTATTTAATATGCTAAATACTTCCTTTTATATTCTCCTAAATATTTAAAAAGTTATTTCCTCAACTGAGGTGAGTTTGTATATTGTAATTTGATTTCAACTCTTTTTTTAATTTAGTATTACTTCTCTCAACAAATTCAATTATTATGCTTTATGGGGATTTTCAATATTGTACATGTCATCAAGAAATATATCTAAGTGTTTCATCGCCTTCTAATAAAATTTGAGGAATATGTTCAAAAATTTGTGCAACCGCTGGATAATTTTTTTTAAAGGAAGCAGCAGGTTTTCAAAAGAAGGAAGTGGAAAACAATGATTTTTATTGCCTTTTGATATATATATTTATAAAATAAGTAATAAGTGTATATATTATAAAATGAAATGTGATTGTTTGGTATTTGTGCAAAGGAAAAAAAAGACAATTTAGGAAAAATTTAATTCAGAAGAGTATTTTTTCTTAAATCGACAAGCCTTCTAATATGAAAAAGGGTTTCTAAACATTCGCAGGTGATTACCCAAAAAGACTTGACTCACTACTCTAATTATGCCAAATGGAGAGGACCTCATTGTTGCAATCAGGACGAATCTAATTAGAGACTTAAGGCTGCCACACCAAATAATACTTCTAAATGGCTGGAAAGCAAAACTCTTCATTCTCCATCAATTCCCCTATTTTATATCCTTCCACCTACCTTTCCTCCTAGTAAAAATAAAAACGAAATTGTTTTTCTTCTCTTTATATCCAAACAAAAATTTTCATGTTACAAATTTTATTCCAAATACCACACAACAAAATCTCATTTAAATCATATCCATAAAGTGTCTATTCATCATTATTTTTTAAAAGGGAAGCCTAAAGAGGATGAAGCTTCTGTACTAAGAGTCAGAGATGTGATAAGTACAAAAATTTTTAATTGTATTATAGTTATGGTTTAATTCTAAACACTGCAGCATGGTGTCAGAAATTGTTTGGCCTTGTTTAAAAAAATCCAAAAATGATTGTATTCTATTGTAAAATTTTATTTTGTATTATAATTAATAATAATCAATCTTATTATTTTTTTAATCCAATTTAGTTTTTTAAAATATAACTTCCTCTTTATTTAAATAATTCCCTTAAGTCGATGCCAGTTAAATTAACAAATTCTCCTTTCAAAATGAGTGCTCCTTATGATTAAAATATAAGCTATTTTGATATCAGAAGGATAGAAACTAAAAAATAATCAAAAATAGATACCACTTTCTAAGCAAGGGTTGTTGTTAAAAATTTGAGGTTAAATTTATGTTAAAATTACTTTGTAATGATTATCTGAAGATAACTTTTATTATCCTGTCTAAACATCCCATAAACGGATAGAGTTATCTAAACTACCAGATGCTAATGTAGTACCATCAGGAGAGTAACAAATTGATAAAACATATGATGAATGACCATCTAATTTGGCTTTTTATTTTCCTGTTTTAACATCCCATAAACGGACAGAGTTATCCCTACTACCAGATGCTAATGTAGTACCATCAGGAGAGTAACAAATTGAATTAACACTATTTGAATGACCATCTAATTTGGCTTTTTATTATCCTGTCTTAACATCCCATAAACGGGTAGAGTTATCTCCACTACCAGATGCTAATGTAGTACCATCAGGAGAGAAGTTAACTGAATAAACAGGTTCTGAATGACCAATTAATTTAGATATTTATTATCCTGTCTTAAAATCCCATAAACGGATAGAGTTATCTCCACTACCAGATGCTAGTGTAGTACCATCAGGAGAGAAACTGACTGAATAAACAATTCTTGAACGGCCAATTAATAAAGATATTTATTATCCTGTAATAACATTCCATAAGCGGATAGAGTTATCTGAACTACCAGACGCCAGTGTAGTACCTTCAGGAGAGAAATTGACTGAATTAACTGTGTTAGAATGACCATCTAACTTAGACTTTTATTATCCTACTTTAACATCCCATAGACGAATAGACTTATCTACACTACCAGATGCTAATATAGAACCATCAGGAGAGTAATTGACTGAAGTAACATAATTTGAATGACCATCTAATTTAGCTATTTATTATCCTGTCTTAACATCCCATAAACGGATAGACTTATCGTGACTACCAGATGCTAATGTAGTACCATCAGGAGAGAAGTTGACTGAGTTAACATTATATGAATGACCATCTAATTTGGTTTTGTATTATCCTGTCTTAACATCCCATAAACGGATGGACTTATCCTAACTACCAGATGCTAGTATAGTACTATCAGGAGAAAAATTGATTGAATATACCCCTGATGAGTGACCATCCAATTTGGCTTTTTATTAGCCTGAGTTAACATCCCATAAACGGATAGAGTTATCCGAACTACCAGATGCTAAGGTAGTACCATCAGGAGAGAAATTGACTGACAACACAAAATGTGAATGACCATTTATTTTGACTTTTTATTATCTAGTCTTAACATCCCATAAACTGATAGATTTATCATAACTACCAGATGCTAATGTAGTACCATCAGGAGAGTAATTGACTGACATAACATAACTTGAATGGCCATCTAATTTGGCTTTTTATTATCCAGTCATAACATCCCATAAACGGATAGAGGTATCATAACTACCAGATGCTAATGTAATACCATCAGGAGAGAAATTGACTGACATTACATAATGCGAATGACCATTTAATTTGGCTTTTAATTATCCTGTCTTAATATCCCACAAACTGATAGACTTATCGGAACTACCAGATGCTAATGTAGCACCATCAGAAGAGAAACATATTGAAGCTATGGCGCTAGTATGACCTATTTTTTTAGATATTTATTTTCCTGTTCTCAGATTCCATAAATACACAAATTTTCTGCTGCTGAAAGCTAATGTATTATTATTGTTTGAGAAGTATCCTGATTTTACTTACCCCTTTGTTCTGATTATCTACTTTATCTTACCTGTTTTCACATCCCACGAACAAATGGATTCATCATCACTGAATGATACGAATGACTTACCATCCAAAAAAAAATAAACTTAATTGACTTTGTTTCTATGCCCATTAAATATACGTAACTCATTTATTCTTAAATTTCTCCACTTACAATTTAATAATTTGGCTTAATTCAAACTCATTCCACTAATAATGACATTGTCAAATTCTGATCCACTTAAGTCACATCTTACCAAATTAGCTCCTATTAAGGAAGTATTTCTAATTCTTATATTTTCAAAACATTATTCCTTCAAATCAACTTTCATTTAAACTAGTAAATAAAGAGAATTTGATCCACATTAAATAAATCTTTCATCTAAAGCAGTAAGATGAACTAAAAATTTTAGATATTCTATAATCTTCTTGTTCTTTGATATGTTAGTGATCAGGTTTTCATTCTCTTTTTAGTATTCTTCTGCAGAGTAATCTTCTTAATTAAAATCATGATCTTTAATTTTGTTGAGAACTTCTATTATTCTCTTAATCTTGTTATTTCCAGCATTTGTAATCCATTCCTTATTAATTAACTATACATTTGTACATGTTATATGTCTTATGTGTATTGTCTTAGATTTTTAATTTTTGAAAGAAATTATATACAATCTAAAATATTCTCCCTTTTGAATATCTAAATGAGGGTTAGGAAGACTAATTCATCAAATTCTTTAGATGAAGCTAAGATCCCATACAAATCTTCATGATCCTCAAAGTCAAAACACCACATTTTTCCTAATTTAAAAATAATATTGAATTTATATTCTTTATTTAAAATTTTATTTACTATAAATTCAAAAAGTATCTTTTTACGTTTTCGATTAAGGTAGCTAGCTCCTCTTAGTTACATCAAAACATAGGAGCTGTAACAACAGATGTCCCATAATAAGGCAATCAGCTTTAATGGAATGTCTGACACCTTCATCAATACTTGTATCAAACGTTCACTTTTAAAATGGAAGTAATCTTCGATAGAAACAAATTCCCACTGCTGCACAGTTCGATTGGTTCCACTTAATAAGTATTTCCGCTAGTTCCAACAGATCGTCAATTTCACCCACTTACAATACTGGGGTCACTTTATAAAATCCTTGAATTAAGGTTTCTTGCAAAGTTACAAAAATACATGACCTAGCGACGTACTTTATATCAAACAAGTTTCGTCCCACAAAGTATTTATTTTAACCTCATAAATTAGTTAGGCATTATTAAAAAAAAAAGGAAAACTGCCGATTCATAGATTTCAGTAACGCATTTAATTTAGTAGATAGGATATTAGTTTGTAATATATTAGAAGAGAATGTCATTCTAGATAAGTAAGAAGTTGAATCCCTTTAAGCATTTATACCATGATCATTTTTGCCTATGCATTCATCTGACTCTAAAATTTATAGTATTGAAAAAATCTGAAATTAGGATAATTCTAGAGTTTGTTATCTTGTTCTGAAATTGCCTTGAGTCATTAAACAAACACTTTACTCAAATTAATGATAAAAACTTCTTTGAGATTAAATAATGAAAGGCAAGAATAATATTAAAATGATTTAGATGGAATTAATTATTAGATAGCGAAAATGAGGTATGTAAAAAGATAAATTATTTAAATCTTAGAGAATATCCAAATACTAAAATAACCCTAATTGTTAATTCAAATTGAAGAAACTAACTGGAACAAAAAAGGTTATTTAAAATGATGTATATAATGAAAATATCAAATCTTATTTATTTAGTTATAAAGATAAATTTAAAATATAGGATTATGATAGCAAAGCAGCATGAAACTTCTTTCATATCAATTAAATTAGAAATAATTATTTAATTACTATTAATAAACAAACAATTACTTATTTTATTTAAATGAACATGCATTATA